TGGGGGGGAGGGGGGAGGCCTTGGGAGAGTGATCCAGAGCCAGAAGAGAACCGAAACCGAAAAGGCCTTGGAACCAAAAAAGGGGATGAACTTCCTGGGGTCCTCACCTATATACTTGGCGTGACATGTATGTTATGGAATAGATTATTGGTCACTCTGGTTCTCAATGTAGTAACCGAAGAACAAATCCTGGGCTAGTAGCTGGGGCTGTGCCCTCCCCGCGCCCACCCCCCCCTTGTCTGCAAAGAGCAGAGAGGCAATAATTATAAACATTCCTTCCTTATCAACTTTTCTGAGCACAAATCCAAAACACAGCCTCTTGCTAGCTATTATGAAGAAAGTTAACTCTGTCTCAGCTTAACCCAGGAACCTCTGTTACGGAACAGCCAGAAGGTCCCCATAGTTGCCACCATCACAATTAATGTATGTATGGAAAAGTATGCTAGTTTGTGCTAACACATCACATTTGTAAAGTTTCATCTTCTCTAGATTCTTAATATTCTAAAGTAGTTTATATCTCCAGATAATATATTTTTTTTAAGTGTGGGATATAGCAAATGCAATGCTCTCTGCTGTCTGCTGAGAGTCTGAAGCAATAACTGAGTAACAAACTACCTCATTTGTTCCAATTTGCTGTAACTCACATTCCCTGTATTGGTAACTCCGGTGTCAATGTTGTTCACACTTTTATGTCTACTGCTAGAAAGGGAGGGGCTGGATCATAGACATGAACAGTTTGCCATGAATAATGTCTAATTTTCGTGCCTAAGCAAGCAGATCTTTCATGATACCCCCTTTTTTTTTCCCCCTTCGAGAGAAAGGTATGCTCAGGGAGCCTTGCAGTCCAGCATCATGATGGTGAACATATGATATCTGTGACAGAACTGGCACATGAAAATACTGTCACCAAAGAAAAAAATTGGAGAAATATTAATTTGATTTCACAATAAGTTTGCCCACATCACAATACACCTGAGTCACTTATCCACGGCATGAATATTACCGTTCTGTCATGCATCGGTATCTGTAGGGCACAAGAGGAGTCTATAAGGAGCAGGAGGGAGAGGGGAATGTGGAAGTCATCTGAAGCTATATGGAAGGGGGAGGGATTATAAGGCATGTGAAGGAACAAGTGAGAACACCCAGGGCTTAGACAGAGTGCCAGGGGGTTTGTGGAGGAATGGAAAAGAGCCATGTGCCAAAGCATCTCTTTCTTCATATATGAAATTTATGGCACTAAGTTTGCCTTTGAGACTGCTTAGTATTGTCAATCTATTTGTGTCAGCATGAAGGAAGAAGAAAGCTGTCTCAGTAGTTAGATATGCAACTAAGGGGTACCATCTTTGAGTAAATCAGCAAATAGTTCTCAGCACATGACAAGATGTCTGCCTTTGTTTGTCTCTGGGGTTACTGACACACATGCTATGCCCTCCAAAGAGGAGAAGCCTTGTTCAGAGAAATTCGGAGAACACATACTCTGTCTCTGAGCAATCTATAATCTGTTTTCTTTTGTATTTCTTTGCAGCAATTCTCATGGGTGGAACTTATTTTATGCCTGGAGTACTTTCTCAGTCCAGGATCTTCAAAAGACATACTTGCTGAAATAAAACATGGGAGACACTATGCAATTAAGGTTTAGAAAACTCATTTGCTATCCTATTTGTAAGCAAAGGAAAAACTCTTTAAAATATTCTAATAGGCTCTGATTGTCCTGTGTGCATTTTGATGTCTTCATCTTGAAACAAATCTCACAATCTATGATGAAATTCCTGATGAGATATTCTCCTAATAGCTATCACTTTAACTTCAAAGAGACAGACAAATATTAGCAAACAAACTAGTGGCAGTTGGTTTCACAGTCAACGTTATTCCCATTTCATGCAAATGTAAACTGAGATAGGTGGAGTAGATATCTTCTGTATCTCGCTGAGGGTTACAGAGATGGTGCCCGTCCGACTAATGTTCACATTTTAATGTGTCTCTAGGTCATTTTGTATTTTTCTCTTTCTTTATGAATTGGGCTAACAGATTTTTTTTCAGAAAATCCCAGTGCAGTGATTGCTGTTAGCCTCATGCTTGGGGATTCATCACCTAAGCACTAACTGCTGAACTACTGAAAGTAGATTAATTAAACAACATAGAACACAATTCTCCAAAAGATCTCTGTTCTTTAGCTAAGGTATGGTGACTTCATTCAAATAATATCTCCAGAAGACAAGCTATGTAGGAGTACCATCACCTTGCTAGCATTTTCAAGTCCGCTTTCACATCTGACTGCACATTCCTTTCCTCAAATGCCTTATTCCTGTTCTTCTGTATAGCTTGTGTTGGAGAACATCTATTAGTACAGCTGTCTGGTGAGACTGCGGCTGGATTAGAGGCAAATAGCAAATAAACCAGGTGGACTCAGCTTCTCTTGTGGATATAAAGCTCGTTCTCTGTGATAAAAAGGTTGCAGTGAGATGGCTGTAGTTCGACTTTCAGAAGGTGCAGTCCAACACGAACCACAGAAACCAATGTTTGGCTCAGAAGGAGCCATTAAATGTGGCAGAGAAGAATGTTCCTCAGTTCAGGCTTGGGGTGATGGCAATTTAGGACGGCTAAATTAAGCCATCTCCTGACATTTGTTGTTTGACTGGGCTCGAAAGCGCTCAGTGTCACTGGCTTGTACTTTCAAGCAGGATTTTTAGGAGGGACTGGGCAAGTTTGTTCTTCCTCTGAAAAGTATTTGCAGCATATATGCAGGCACTGAGGGCTCAAGAACCGGCTTAAGGAACTGGAGGAACTAAAGTCCAATTTGCCTTGTTTAAGTGGGATCTCTGCCCACACGAGTGGTCCCACAAAGGAGCAATGATCGGTGCCCCAGCCCTGCCCCATCTTCCACACACAGCTGGAGGGGAGAGGAGCAGCAGGGAAGGCTGAGGGAGGTCACTTCTTATTTATCGCTTATCTCCTGGAAAGTTGCTTCTGTCTCATGCAGTCTTGTCTAAATTGTGCCCTCGGTCTTTCCATTTAACTTCAGCTTCTTAAGGCTACATTCTCCGTTCAGTTTACAGTAACAAAAATGTGTTTTATACATTTCAGCCTTCTTTATCTATACAGCACAAGGCTCACTGCTCTCTAGTCTCTAGCAGACTCTAGGTAAGCGCATACCACTCACTGGTGTGAGTTTGTTCCTACATTGTGTTTGGCTCTGATAGCTCCGGATTAACTGCGTGCGGCTGTGAGTGATGGCATTTCTGAAAGATCTGCTCTTTATTCATCACTGTAACAGTTAAGACAACTTGGACCTATGACTGGTCTCATTGACATCAGGGGCAAAACTTGCACTGATTTAAGCGCCTTTTAATTAAACCAGCAACAAATAATTAAACCAGCATCCACAAGTGTAGGGTAATTGAATTGACAGCAAAACTATAATCCTTGTCAGGCTCCAACACATCATTGGAATTTAACAAATAGTTTACTATCCAGTAAATTCTTAACTTCATCATAAAAATGTACTTTTGTGTCCAAAATTTTATAAATTTTGGCATGGGAAGAAAAACAGTTTTTCTTTCCAAGCTGTTGGATGCCATTTTTTTCTTCAGACCAAACAACTTCTTTCTAGGAGAGGCTGCTCAAAGAAACCTGGGAATACATGGGGCCAGTTTCTTACCTCCTCAGCACAATCATCTTTCCAGGTGAACCTCACTGTAATGGCATTGCAGATATTTTGTGAACTCCCAGGCTGTCCCAATGTAGTCTCCAAAATTCAACAAATCCCTCTGGAGTGCACTTGGAGAACAAACAGAGATGG